GGCGACCGCCCCGGGCCCCGCACTTTGGGGGGTCCCCGCGCTTCCACGTCACAGTGACAGGTGTAATACTTCCGGTTTAGTTTGAAGGCTTCGAGGGGGTCACACAGTGGAGTTTGGCCCGGGCCCCCCCACCCAGACCGCCCCCCTTCCTGCGGACGGCCCTGGTTATGAACCCGGCGAACCGAGGTCGATTGCCACTCACGGCCAACCGCCGGTGACGATTATCTGAACAGGTCTTGGGCCTCCCCTAGGTCGGCTCAGTCTCAAACGAGTACCTGGTGCGGTGCGTAAGCATCAGCACTGAGGAGACAAAGGCGACCGGGGCGTGGTGCTGGTCTCCCTCCTCCTCGTGCGCCGTGCCGGCCTTCATAGGGTGCTCCTCGCTAACAGCACTTGCCCCAACAGTCTGTTCGGGCTATACGGCGGATCTTTGTCTTTGTTTATGCACCGTGTGTGTGTGTGTGCCTGGGTTGTGTGTACAGTAGTGTGTGCGTGTAGGTGTGTGCGCCTGTAGGTATAGGGTCGTGTAATATGTACGCGTGTAGTTTGTGTGTGTTAATAATCATTATTTTTACACGTGGGGTGGTGATTTTGCCATGTGACATGCAAGGCATGGCGGGATAATCGATCCTGTGGCCTCAATGGTGCCCTCTGCTATCCAGGAATCACCTTGTGCGTTTACTCCCGAGTGTGTTCCGCTGTAACTGAGGAACACCCAATATATTTTCCCACGGGGCACAGGACCTACGTTTATATTTTCTCAAATCCATAATAATTATGAATAATATTGGTCGCGAAAGCCTACGTGTTAAACCTTTCTCAAATCATCGACTATAATCCAAAACCATCGCTGCACTTAACCGCGGACGTTCGATTCCGATGACCCTAAAGCTCTCCGTGTCTACGGTACACACCGCTGCAGTGTTACAAGGACAGGCAATTTGGGATTCGCCAAGACACCCGGTTGGACGCGATACGATGACGACGACGACGAGGGGGTAGATGAGCTGGAAAAGATTATTGTCGTCAACCCCTCCACCACCACCACCACCACCTCGCTAACAGCACGTGGCGACACAAAGGATCTGTCACAAAGATCTGTCTGTACGCGTAAGATGGACGGATTTATATAGGCATTTTATTTATTTCACTAGGAAGGGCCCAATAAGTTGTTAGGCTCTATTATCAATGTATTATTATTATTATGCCATGGGCATCCTGCACACAACACTTCTGAAACATAGATCTAAATAGTGCAGTGGCCCTTCTTACCTGGTAAATAAAAAAAGGTCCGTAATTATTACGGCAATATTTTTGTTAAACTTTTTAGTTCCTCAATTTTTTTCATAGTTTAACCCCCCCCCCTGCTCAACCGGCTGGTTGAGCAGGGGGGGGTGATCTTATATTCACTCCCGCCAGCGAGAGTGAATATAAGATCACCGTTCATCACAAAATATTGAAATCTCTCTTCCCCCCCCACCACGAGGCTTGACGTCCGTTCTCTGTTAAGTCCCCTTGTAGCCACCTCTTCGCCTGTCGCCAAGGCAACGGGAGGGGGGGGGGTGTGTCTAGGATGGCGTGGAGAGGCCTTTCGGCCTACTCCAGGCTTATTCATAAGAGGTTTTTGGGTTTATATCGTGTAAATATAAATGTGTCGTTGAACCGGCCACCACCCGACACGGCCAATTAGTGAGGTTCGTCACGTAATCAAAACGTGCCAATCAGCTGCTAGTTCGGCACTAACCGGAGTGTTGGAGAGTAAAACCCACGACATTTACAATTGTCGTACGACGTTTCGCCGATAATTGTGACCAGCCTCATCAGGCGACGGCCAGAGTTGTGGAGGAAACCTCCTCCCGCTTCGGTCTTCGATCGAGGCTTACTACGAGCTTATCGCCCTGAAGTCCCTTTCCGTGGAAGCTAGCACATTGTATATTTATATGTATATTACAAAAAAAATGTTTCTGAGTGTCCTTTGTTTTTCCTATCGCACTTCTGAGACTCGTGCAACATTCCCTCGCTGCGAAACAAAGTCTTCCGATTGTGTTTCCTTCCCTGTCTTCACCACACACAACACCACACAACACCACACACACACAAAAAGAAATACATTAATAATTATAAAACAAAAAACTAACGTTTTCAAGGGGAAAGAAACGGCCCTTTCTTGCGCCTCTCTGAAGGCTCCCCATTGTCAAGCGACGTTTTTGATTTGTCGTGGGTATGAGGCGGGGAGGTTCAAAGGTCACCAGCGCCTTGGCAGCGTCCTCACACGGACCCACGTGTGTACTCTCACGCTAGACCGTCTGTAACACAGTGCCACGCGTGTTCTTACCTGTCTACTCTCACGCTAGACCGTCTGTAACACAGCCACACTCGTGTTCCTAGCTGTGTACTCTCACGCTAGACCGTCTGTAACACAGTGACACGCGTGTTCCTACCTGTCTACTCTCACGCTAGACACGTCTGTAACAGTGACACGCGTGTTCCTACCTGTCTACTCTCACGCTAGACACGTCTGTAACAGTGACACGCGTGTCCTTACCTGTCTACTCTCACGCTAGACCATCTGTAACACAGCCACACGCGTGTCCTTACCTGTGTACTCTCACGCTAGACCGTCTGTAACACAATGACACTCGTGATCTTACCTGTCTACTCTCACGCTAGACCGTCTGTAACACAGTGACACTCGTGTTCTTACCTGTCTACTCTCACGCTAGACCGTCTGTAACACAATGACACTCGTGTCCTTACCTGTCTACTCTCACGCTAGACCGTCTGTAACACAGCCACACTCGTGTTCCTAGCTGTGTACTCTCACGCTAGACCGTCTGTAACACAGTGACACGCGTGTTCCTACCTGTCTACTCTCACGCTAGACACGTCTGTAACAGTGACACGCGTGTTCCTACCTGTGTACTCTCACGCTAGACACGTCTGTAACAGTGACACTCGTGTCCTTACCTGTCTACTCTCACGCTAGACCGTCTGTAACACAGTGACACTCGTGTTCTTACCTGTGTACTCTCACGCTAGACACGTCTGTAACAGTGACACTCGTGTCCTTACCTGTCTACTCTCACGTTAGACCGTCTGTAACACAATGACACTCGTGTCCTTACCTGTCTACTCTCACGCTAGACCGTCTGTAACACAATGACACTCGTGTCCTTACCTGTCTACTCTCACGCTAGACCGTCTGTAACACAGTGACACGCGTGTTCCTACCTGTGTACTCTCACGCTAGACACGTCTGTAACAGTGACACGCGTGATCTTACCTGTGTACTCTCATGCTAGACACGTCTGTAACACAGCCACACGCGTGTCCTTACCTGTGTACTCTCACGCTAGACCGTCTGTAACAGTGACACGCGTGATCTTACCTGTCTACTCTCACGCTAGACCCTCTGTAACACAGCCACACTCGCTCAAGACCACAATGACGGTAAAACACTCCGAGTGCAAAATAAGTTAAAATTTCGACGAAATGCCACGGTTTTTGTTTTTTTACAAATGCACTCGCGTGCGGTTACGGTTACATTGCCATGTTGTGATATGAGTCCAACACGATAACAATTTCACATCCAACATTTTCGCCGCATATCCGCCCCGTGGCTCGGTGCTCTACGACAAAAGTGTAGTGCTGTATATTATTATTTGTGTATGTTTCGATTAAATATCGTTTCGCGATGAGCGCTGGTGGCTACGTACGGTGCGAAAAAAGTTCAACATACCATACATACAACTCTGTGGCTGTCCGCCTGATGATGCGGTACTCTCGAATTGTAAATGTTGTGGGTTTCCTCTCCAACAACACCGGTGTGCTGAACTAGCCACCAATTGGCACGTTCTATTTATGTAACAACCCTTACTAATTGGCTGTGTCAGGTGGTGGCGTGTTTAACGGCACGTTTATATTTACGCGATCTAACCCAAAAAAAAACCTCTGCAATGGATACCGTACGTACATTTGTCAGCGTTTTGTGCCATCGTCCGATAATTAACTGTAACGTTAACCCCTTTCTGCCATAGACACGGGGAGGTGTTAAGATGCACAGACACCGCATGGACACCTCCTTAAAAGGCGTCAAAGTCTGCTTTTGCCACACATACACCGCCACACGTGCGGTTAATGCAGACTTTTAATAGCTGTATACTAGGTGTTTGAACATCTTAACACCTGTGTTTATGCTCGAAAGGGTAAAGCCTTTTTATCATAACATTTTTCATTAAAACTACGTCCGAGGATTCACTTTACGAAGTTATCTTCGCTGTGTACGTTGGCACAATTGCAATGTGTGTGTTGCAGACGACTCACAAATAGAATTGTGGTATTTTGACCCATCGTAAAAGCCATAAAACGTTCACTCGCTCGTCCATAAAATGATATTGGTGATATATAACAGAGTCACGTTGCTGATGATGCTGTCTGATGATGATAATGCTGCTGACGATGCTGACAACTCGGATGATGTTTATCTGCGCTCGTTTAGCAGAAACGGGTTTGTGTACGTAAAAAAAAGGTTTATATCTACATTTAAATCAGCTCAAGCCTCCTATAAATCACGTGACTTTCTGTGTGGCCACCCCCACTCTGAGCCCCTCCCCTCTCCCCCACCGCCTCCCCCTGTGAAAACAGACTCCGCTCCTCCACGCAGCAGCAGCGTGTAGGCCCTGACGTCGCCTCTTGCTCCCGATCCTCATCTCCCCTGGCTCTTTGCTCCCATTTCACCGTTCCCTTTCCCTGCTTTTCCTCTCGTTCGTTTCCCATCCTTTCCCTTCTCTCTTCCCTCTCCCGTACCTTGGTCTTTTCCTGTACATCACATCCTTGACCCCGTACTCGCCTTCCCGCTGGTGTGGGCACGGTCACAACCGTTGCCGAGTAGCAGCAAATTCGCTTAGCCATTCCAATGAAAACACAGCCACCGGTGTAAAAAAAACTGTGGATGGCATTTGTTAAATTAACCTTCCGTCTGCGTGACTTGTGTTCTTCAGGATGTTCTCTACTGCGGCGGGGTTGCGAAGGAGCTGTTTCCAGAAGAGGTGTCTTCCCTGAGCAGTGAGTGCTCCTTACTCCTTTAGTCCTTTCATTCACTCTTTCATTCTTTCATTCATCCGTTTTCCATAAAACTTCCCTTGCACCTTGAGCCAAGTTGTCACGGATTTTGTCATCATTCACATAAAGTGGGTTGATTTGAAAGATCTGTACGTTACTGTTCGAGTGTTGCGCTCATTTGATTTATTTAGCCAGTTGCCTGAATATTATACAAGGGACATCCATGGTGCTGCGTGAACGCACAGCAGCAGCAAGAATAAACGAAAGACAAAAACTCATAAATATTGCATGACTTACAAACGATAAAGGTCAGTAGCGAAACGCCCGCGCATCACAAATGCCGAAAACATAATGCGAGAGCAAGAGGCGCCAGAAAGCTGTGAAGCAGTCCTATGAGATAAGGATCCCTAAAGCACGGACGTTGACTTTGCCGTAGGAAAATTGCATTTGGGATTTGCCATAAAATAAAAGCTCCGATTAGCACGGTTGGTTACGTACAGTGCGAAAGATGTTCATCGTACATACATACATACGTACAAGGAAGCATGAGGAGGTGTGTGTGTGTGTGTGTGCTTTAAATTGCACAATTTGAGACATTGTTTTTGACTGTTAAGGATGCGCCGTGGCTAGAAGGCCCCCCCTGCGGTCGAGAGGGGGGCGACAGAGTGGCATCTGTCGGAGCTGATGCGCCCGAGAGGGCCACGTCCACCGTGGAGATGGAGCAGTAAACAGTAATTGAGCTCCGCGTGCGGCTGCTAGATTGATGGTCGGATCGCGAGGCCGCGGGGGCGACGATGGCTTAGCGCGTAGAGGCCTTCATCCAGCAGTGGATAGATAATGCCCCATGACGATGACTTAATGAGGTCGTGCGGGGCAGCTCTGCAGACTCCCTTGAGCCCCGGCGAAGACGAAGCAGAGGACGATGGCGGCGGCGGCGATGCCACGGACAAGAAGCCTGCCGACAAGGCCGCGCTCAACGCCCTCAACTTCCAGGTGCGAATCTGCACACCCCCTGGGTTCAGATTTGTTGACAAAATGAGCGACATTGGTCAACCAAGCGCTTATTTTTACGCTGTTTCGGTCGACGATGACTGTGACTGGATGAAAACGATCAACGACTGTCCACCAAAGCGTGACCGACTGTGACGAGACAATTGTTGCTGGCTGATTTGAGCGCAAGACCTCACGAACTGCAACAGCTCTGGTGGACCAGGTGGCTCAGAGGTCAGAGCGCTGAGCTGGTACCGCTGCGATCCTGGGTACCGTGGTGGCGAGATGTTAACTACCTCGCCTGGTACACAAGAGGTCGTGGATTCGATGGCGACCCTGACGCCTGTTGTAGAATTGGAGTTTGCATGTCTCTTTCCCCGTGGTCGTGTGGATTTCCCTTCGGGTCCTCCGGTTTATTCCCTCCACATTTAGAATCAACATCACGCGTTCAAAGTTTTTGACTGCTGTAAATTTCCACGTGATGATGACAAGCCACTTCGTTGGGCTCTCATTTGTGGCCAGGTCGCTTCTGAAAAAGAGCTATATAGCTCAGTAGGCCTTACCTGGTAAAATAATAGAAAGTTACGTTTAGGGTTTGAATGCAGGCATTCGACCAGGGCTCCATTTAATGTGGCAGCACAACGTTGCAGTTGTAATCTGGAAGAGGCCTTGATGGGTAGAACGCAGAGTGGAGGAGGCAGGCAGGTCACCTAGAGACAGGCCTTGGAGGGGCACCCAGAGGCCGGGCAACCCAAGGGGAAGAGAAGACCTAAAGCCAGATGGCGGCGGTGGTAGTGGTTATGAGACTCAACGAGCAGACCTTGGAGGTTGAGTACTTAACTTTACAGCAGCTACGGAATCTGGCAAAGGGAAGGAAGAGACGGCGGGTTGCAGTGACATCAGAGAGACAGCGCCTTCATAACCTCTTGACCTTTAGCTTCATGTATCAGCTGCCGTGGCGAGGTGGCAATGAGGCGGTGAAGAGAACCAACTCATGGCGACTTCTTGGGCCGTATCGGTGACCTTGACCAGTATCGATATATATATGACCCTTGACCTGTAGCCGATCGCCCTGTCCAGCAGGAGCTGCAGTGCGACGTGCTGGTGCAGGACAACAATCGACAGGAGTGGACGTTCACGCTGTACGACTTCGACAGCAGTGGCGAGGTCACCCGAGAGGTGAGGGGCTCACGCCAACAGGAGGCACCATCAGTTTAAACACGTGGTGGTAGTGGCAGGGCTTTTGCAACCAATATCCATAATTTAGGGGGACTTTTTTGTGTCGCTAAACCTGCCGCCACCACCACCACCCCGACAACCAGTTAGTAAGGTTTGTCACGTGATGCCAATTATATTTAATGCGATCTGACCCAAAAATTAGGCCCAAACATTGCTCGTGTGCGTACATATTGTACATGCGCTATGAATGTTGATTAACTGTGAAAAAACACAACTGATAGGTATTCTTGGTTCCTTCGGTAAAGTCACGTCGAAGGGAAAGAACCAAGAATATGAATCCCTGCAGTCACGGAAGCTTTAAATCAAAACGAATAGGCATCCATTGCGTTCTCTGGGTCTTTCGGTGAAGTCACATAGATAGGTTCAAAGAAAATAACAAAAAAAACGACGACGTTTCGATCGCAACGCAAGCGGTCGTCATCGACTTTTTTCCTTCCTGATGACGACCGCTTGTGTTGCGATGGAAACGTCCTGGTGGTTTTTTTGTTCTTTTCATTCAACCCGTCTACGTGACTTCACCGAAAGACCCAAAGAATATGAATTCCTGTGCAGTCACGAAAGCTTTGAGTCAAGATTTACATCCATTGTAATTTATATGACATTAACCGCCCCCCCCCGCCGCCCCCGACCGCCCCGGTCTTCGCACCTGATTGGCTCACAAGTGGCGACATCAAATTGACCTCCTCTAATTGAGACCAAAACAGGAGGTTTTCTCCACAATTCTGGCTGTCGCCTGCTGAGGCTGGTTGTAGTTCCCGGAGAAATGTCACACGGTACTCGAATTGTAAATGTTGTGGTGGGTTTACTCTCCAACACACAACGGGTTAGTGCTGTACTAGTAACTAATTGGCACGTTCTGTTTACGTGACAACCCTTAATTAATAGGCTGTGTCGGGTGGTGGCGGTTTCAACGGCACATTTATATATTTACGCTAATTCAAAAAAAGACATCTATTATGGATTAAGGCACCGTCATCGCCATCAGCCAAGATCAATCCACTGCTGGATGAAGGCCCCCCAACCCCCTCCCCCCTCCAAGCCGCCGCCGTACCTCTGGCGAACCGGCAAACGCGACAATCCACCCACACCAGCCGGTTCCATCGCTCCATCTCCTCAGGGGGCGTCCGTAATCGGAATCAATTTATTTATACTGGAGGAATCCGATGAGCTATGAAGCTCTTCTTTCACAGATGCCCGTTAGTTTCACAGATGTCCAGTAATAAACGGACGGTAGGCATGATTAACTAAATTAGGCCATTAAAAGTGTTTTATTTACCAGGTAAAGCCCCACTGAGCTATTCGCTCTTTCTCAGAGGCGACCTGGCCACTCACTGAAGCGGCTGATGTCATCATCATCATCACACGTGGGAATTGTAGCAGCAGCCAAATAATCTAGACGCGTGTTGTTTCAAAATGTGGAGGGGGGCCAAAACCAGAGAAGACCCGGAGAGAAATCCACGCGACCACCACGGGGCGAGAGACAGAGGGAGAGAGAGAGCGAAGACGCAGACTTCAAATACTAGCGGCATAGTCGGGGTCCGAGATCGAACCCACGCGCTTCTGCACAGAAGGCGTGGGAGATCTGCTCGCCAGATTTGAAGCTTTCGTGACTGCAAGGATCCATACTCTTTGGTTCTATTGGGTAAAGTCACGTAGGTAAAAACAAAAATCACGACGTTTCGGCCACAACACAAGTGGCCTGATGAAGGCCACTTGTGTTGTGGCCGAAACGTCGTGATTTTTGTTATTTTGTTATTTTTTTTACCTACATGACTTTACCGAATAGAACCAAAGAGTATCTGCTCGCCACTCCGGCTCCCCATCAGCTTTTGGGAAGGCCAAGGCGGCCAAAAGCATGGTTCTGGCGACGTTGCCGGCGACGTTGCCGGCCTTCTTCGGTATGCACGTACGTACGTTGAACTTCTTTCCCACCGTACGTAGCCAACCGTGCTAATCGGAGGTGCGGGGGAAGGACACCAAACGAAACACAAAAAGCAGTTCTCAAAAAATGAGTTTTCAATCTAGATTATTTAAAAGTGCTTAGCGTCCAGTTGCTTCTTAATATCGGAAGGAAGAGCATTCCAGAAGGCCGCAGAAGCACATCTTTAAACGCGCGATGCAAACGACCATCCGTGTTCGATGGCCAACCTACTTTATGCGTAGCGCTTGCCCCAACGGGTCTGTTAAATTCTGCCCCCCGGGGGATCTTTGCCTTTGTGCTCGGCGCGTGTTGGGCCCTGCAGGACATCAGCAGCCTGATGCACACGATATACGAGGTGGTGGGCACCTCCGTGAATCACTCCACCGGCAACAGCAAGACCCTGAGAGTAAAGCTCACCGTGACCCCTGACCCTGGGCAGCAGAGGAGGCGTGGCGCGCCCCACGGCATTGTGGGTAAGTAAGGGGTGGGTTGCCCTCGGTCATGCATTTGATTTTTTACGTTTTACAAACAAGGTTAAACGCGTTAATGCATTAGCTCTGTCGGCCAGTCGGTCGGTCTTGTCTGTAAAGGGCGGCACGGTAACTCTTGTGAAGACGATGCACTGAGAACGAATCTTTCGGATCTACCAGGTAAGGCCCCACCGAGCTATGAAGCTCTTTTTCAGAAGCGACCTGGCTATCACAAATGATAGCTCAGTCAAGTGGCTCATCGTGTGGAAATGTACAGCAGCCAAATACTCTTAGACGCGTGTGGATTCTAAATGTGGAGGGAAAAGCCGGTGGACCTAGAGAAAAAAATCCACGCGACCACGGGGAGAGAGACGTGATGATGATGAGAGAGAGACACGTGATGATGATGATGAGAGAGAGACACGCAAACTCAAAATATACAGCAGCAGGCGTCATGGTCTGGATCGAACCCACGACCTCCTGTACACCAGGCGAGGTAGTTAACATCTCCTAGCCACCGTGATGATGATGAGAGAGAGACACGCAAACTTCAAATATACAGCAGCAGGCATCGTCAGGGTTAGGATCGAACCCACGACCTCCTGCATACCAGGCGAGGTAGTTAACATCTCATAGCCACCGTGATGATGATGAGAGAGAGACACGCAAACTCCAAATATACAGCAGCAGGCATCGTCAGGGTCAGGATCGAACCCACGACTTCCTGTACACCAAGCGAGCGTATGAAGTCATGTTGTTGTTAGGCACTCACACGAGAGAAAAACTGGCAAAAGTGGTTACCAACAACTTGGTGATTATCCAGAACAAGCGCCACACGCTAATAATTACCCTTGGTGGCCAAGGCGATGGCGACCACTTCCTGTGACGTCATACGTCTACACACACGTGACGCACCCGCCTCCCCTCCCGGTGACAGCATTGCGCGCGACCTCATCTCACTGGAACGTCTCGCTGTCGTCGCTAATTAAAGTTTAATACTTGCGAGGATGAACGCACATTTCGGAAAGAAGCGTTACAGAATCGGAGCGTATGGACGACGCTTCACCCTAGAGTTTCATTTATTCGTCCCAACTTGTTGTGCAATGCGCCGCTAAACTTTCAATGTTCTTAAATTTTTGCACAAGTGCTACAACCCCTTTGTCTGTCCACCGTTGAATGAGGGGCCTGCCCACACCGTGCAGGTCGTGGGGGTCAGTGCCAGATTATCCCAGAAGCCCGGGAGAAAACCAACCACACACTCTTTAGGGGTGGCACTCCAAACCCACCACCCACTCGATGGGTAAAACTCCACCACACCCTGACGACGCCTGCTATATATTTGGAGTTTTGCATGTCTCCCCGTGATGGCGTGTTTTTTTTTTTCCTCCGGGTCCTCTGGAATTTTTCCTCCACGCTCAGAATCAACGTCACGCGTTGCCGCTCTAAAATCTCCACGTCGATGATAAGCGACTTCGGTGAGCCATCATTTCTGATCGCCAGATGGATTCTGAAAAAGAAGCTCATAGCTCAGTGGGCCTCTACCTGGTAAAATGAAAAAAACAAGTCGCAGTTAGTCGTCACGCATGTACGCGCGTGCGTCTCCGTGCTTGTGTTTCAGATCAGCCGCCGTCGCACGGCCAGGGGGAGGAAACGGCAACCCCCGAGGAGGCCAGGCAGCCCCAGAAGCAGCAGCAGCCCCAGCAGCAGCAGCAGCCCCAGCAGCAGCCCCAGCAGCAGCAGCCTGAGCACCCTGCATTGCGGTACGCGGCAAAGCACGGTCACGCGGTTTCAATTAGCGGGCGGTCGCGGGAAAACAAAAACACATTAACAATAAAAACACGGACGCCGCAACAGGAAAGGGCGGGCTGGGAGACATCGCCCTCCCCGCGGCAACCCGCGGGTGGTAATCCCGGGTGTCGGCGGTGCGGAAACGGTGGCTCGGAGATGTTAACACCCTCGCCTGGTATACAGGAGGTCGTGGGTTCGATCCTGACCCTGACGCCTGCTGATGGATATTTTTGCGTTTGCGTGTCTCTCTCTCTCTGTCTCTCTCCCCCGTGGTCGCGTGGATTTTTCTCCGGGTCCTCGGGTTTTTCCTTCCACATTTAGAACCAACGTCGCGAGTTGAGATTATTTGGCTGCCGTGAATGTCCACGGGACGATGATGAGCCACTTTGTTGAACTGCAATCGTTTGCGATAGCAAAGGTCGCTTCTGAAACAGAGCTGTACAGCTCAGTGGGCCTTATCTGGTGAAATAAAAAAAAATATTTGTTGAAAGTAAATCAATAGTTTTAAACCGGCGAACCGACGGAGGCCCGCCGCAAACTGGGCCGACGTTTGCACCGTTTTGGGGGGGCGGCAGTTGGGAAGTGGAAAGAGCCGGGAAACATTTTCCATGTTTTTTTTTTTACGTTGTTGCTGAATTATTACTTCTTAACGCGGGTGTCCAAAAGCACTCCATCGATTTTTGTCGTCCGCCCCCCCCCCCCCCCACTTCTGTTTTTTTGTTGTTAAACCATCTGCCAGAGGGCTGCGTGGTTCCCACATTTTAGGAGCCACGGGCCACCCCCGACGCTCAGAAACCTTTAAGCGCCCCCCCCCCCCCCCCGTCGTCTTCATCCCACGGTTTCCCCCCCCCCCACCCCCACCCCCACCGCGCAGTAATAAATCTGGCGTTTCATGAAGGCGATGGCAGCGTCTGCGGCGGCCCCGTGGTGGCCGCTTCCCACGGCCTTGCCGAGGGCCCGCCGCCGGGCTGTCCGCTGCTGCCGCCAGTCCGGAGGCACTGCCCCAGGGTGATCACGTGCCCTCTTGTGCTCTTTTTTCCCCCCCCATTTGCGTCCACAGTACGTGTCCAGTGTATGCCCAATATGTCGGATTTATTTGCGCGCAGGCGCCACAACAGCGGGCAACCCCAGGGCTCGGCGACCGCCCGCCACTGCTACTGCGTGGACGAGAACGTGGAGCGCAGGAACCACTACCTGGACCTGGCTGGCATGGAGAGTTACGGAACGCCCGCCTGCTCGCCCACGCAAGGTCTCCCGCTCGCTCCTCGCACCCAGCCCGTCCACTTCCTCACCCGCCCGTCGCTTTACTCGCCCGTCCATCATCTCGCTCGCCCAGCGGCCGACTCGTTCCGCTCGCCCTTCACGCCGTTTGGCCCACGCACAAACTCGTTCCTCCCTCGCCCGTCATTTCACCCGCCTCGCTCGCTCGCTCGCTCGCCCCATCACGTCAGTCGCCCAATCTTCCACACCTCACCGTCTTTCCTCTCGCCTGCCTACCACCTTTTGCTCACCCAACCGCAAAGTGTATCCCCCACAACTTTTTTTATTTGACCTCCGACCCTCCGCTCGTCAATCTACAAAATGTGCCCAGTGAGGCGTACAAGCAGCAACCACGCCCCCCTTGCCCCCGCCCCGCCCGCCGCCAGCCGCACGCGATTGGACGACGGGGAACAATCGGCCGCGCTCACGCTCGCGCGCGATTGGACGACGGGGAACAATCGGCCGCGCTCACGCTCGCGCGCGATTGGACGGCTCGCTTCGAAGGACGCCCTTTGCGGGAGGCGTGGCGGCGAGCGCCGTTCGAGATCACGGTCCGAGCCGCACGTGGGGTAGGGAGGGGGAGGCGCAGTGGGGGAGAATCTGAACGCGGAATGTTTTGACGCGGTGTCGGATCACTCGTTCGCCAAGATGAGATCGAGAGAGAGAGATGTACTGGCGGAGGGGTGGCCGCTCGTGTGTGTGTATCTCTCTCTCGCGAGCGAGCGGGTCAAGCCAAGCAACAACAACAACAAAAACCCTGGCTTGCACGGCAGAGAGACAGCCTGTTATCACGAGCGGTATCGTTGTTTAACAAATCGTCTCACGCGGCCCTTAAGTTATGCCGCTCTCCTGGGAGAAACAAATTTACTTGTAACCCCCCCCCCCCCCACACACACACACTGGTGTGTGTGGGTTACTGGTGTGTGTGTGGGTTACTGGTGTGTGTGTGTGTGTGGGTTACTGGTGTGTGTGGGGGGGTTACTGGTGTGTGTGTGTGGGTTACTGGTGTGTGTGTGGGTTACTGGTGTGTGTGTGTGGGTTACTGGTGTGTGTGTGTGTGGGGGTTACTGGTGTGTGTGTGTGTGTGTTACTGGTGTGTGTGTGTGGGTTACTGGTGTGTGTGTGTGTGGGTTACTGGTGTGTGTGTGTTACTGGTGTGTGTGTGGGGGTTACTGGTGTGTGTGGGTTACTGGTGTGTGTGTGTGTGGGTTACTGGTGTGTGTGTGGGTTACTGGTGTGTGTGTGTGTGGGTTACTGGTGTGTGTGTGTGTGTGGGTTACTGGTGTGTGTGTGGGTTACTGGTGTGTGTGTGTGGGTTACTGGTGTGTGTGGGTTACTGGTGTGTGTGTGTGGGTTACTGGTGTGTGTGTGGGTTACTGGTGTGTGTGTGGGGGTTACTGGTGTGTGTGTGGGTTACTGGTGTGTGTGTGGGTTACTGGTGTGTGTGTGTGTGGGTTACTGGTGTGTGTGTGGGTTACTGGTGTGTGTGTGGGTTACTGGTGTGTGTGTGTGTGGGTTACAGGTGTGGGTGTGTGTGGGGGTTACTGGTGTGTGTGGGTTACTGGTGTGTGTGTGTGTGGGTTACTGGTGTGTGTGTGTGGGTTACTGGTGTGTGTGTGTGGGTTACTGGTGTGTGTGTGTGGGTTACTGGTGTGTGTGTGTGGGTTACTGGTGTGTGTGTGTGGGTTACTGGTGTGTGTGTGTGGGTTACTGGTGTGTGTGTGGGTTACTGGTGTGTGTGTGTGTGGGTTACAGGTGTGTGTGTGTGCGTGTTTGTGTGTAGGCACGTGAAAGAGTAAGAATGCTCGGAATACACAAAACTCCCCGAATAAACTCGCGATGGAGCCGGGAATTGGTGGGGGGGGGGGGGGGTGGCAGAAGGCCCGGGGGGGGGGCTCTCGTCGCGACCCCCCTCGATATGATTGGAGGGGGGTCGTGACGGTTTCATTTGCCAGCGTTTTTTGTCACGTAGAAAGACCCAGAGGATCGCAGTGAATCACAGAGACGCAGAGAATCACAGAGATGCAGAGAATCACAGAGACGCAGAGAATCACAGAGACGCAGAGAATCACAGAGACGCAGAGAATCACAGAGACGCAGAGAATCACAGAGACGCAGAGAATCACAGAGAATCGCAGAGACGCAGAGAATTGCAGTGAATCGCAGAGACACAGAGAATCACAGAGACGCAGTGAATCACAGAGACGCAGAGAATCGCAGAGACGCAGAGAATCACAGAGACGCAGAGAATCACAGAGACGCAGTGAATCACAGAGACGCAGTGAATCACAGAGACGCAGAGAATCGCAGAGACGCAGAGAATCACAGAGACGCAGAGAATCACAGAGACGCAGTGAATCACAGAGACGCAGTGAATCACAGAGACGCAGAGAATCGCAGAGACGCAGAGAATTGCAGTGAATCGCAGAGACACAGAGAATCACAGAGACGCAGAGAATCACAGAGACGCAGAGAATCACAGAGACGCAGAGAATCACAGAGACGCAGTGAATCACAGAGACGCAGTGAATCGCAGAGACACAGAGAATCACAGAGACGCAGTGAATCACAGAGACGCAGAGAATCGCAGAGACGCAGAGAATCACAGAGACGCAGAGAATCACAGAGACGCAGTGAATCACAGAGACGCAGTGAATCACAGAGACGCAGAGAATCGCAGAGACGCAGAGAATCACAGAGACGCAGAGAATCACAGAGACGCAGTGAATCACAGAGACGCAGTGAATCACAGAGACGCAGAGAATCGCAGAGACGCAGTGAATCATAGAGAATCACAGAGACGCAGTGAATCACAGAGACGTAGTGAATCACAAAGAATCACAGAGACGCAGAGAATCACAGAGACGCAGTGAATCACAGAGACGCAGTGAATCACAGAGAATCACAGAGACGCAGTGAATCACAGAGACGCAGTGAATCACAGAGACGCAGAGAATCACAGAGACGCAGAGAATCGCAGAATCGCAGAGACGCAGTGAATCACAGAGACGCAGTGAATCACAGAATCACAGAGACGCAGTGAATCACAGAGAATCACAGAAACGCAGTGAATCACAGAGACGTAGTGAATCACAAAGAATCACAGAGACGCAGTGAATCACAAAATCACAGAGACGCAGTGAATCACAGAGACGTAGTGAATCACAAAGAATCACAGAGACGCAGTGAATCACAGAGACGCAGTGAATCACAAAGAATCACAGAGACGCAGTGAATCACAGAGACGCAGTGAATCACAGAGAATCACAGAGACGCAGAGAATCACAGAGACGCAGAGAATCACAGAGACGCAGAGAATCACAGAGACGCAGTGAATCACAGAGAATCACAGAGACGCAGAGAATCACAGAGACGCAGTAAATCACAAAGAATCACAGAGACGCAGTGAATCACAGAATCACAGAGAATCACAGAGACACAGAGAATCACAGAGAAACAGAGAATCACAGAGAATCACAGAGAATCACAGAGACGCAGTGAATCACAGAGAATCACAGAGACAGAGAATCACAGAGACGCAGTGAATCACAGAGACGTAGTGAATCACAGAGACGCAGTGAATCACAAAGAATCACAGAGACGCAGTGAATCACAGAGACGCAGTGAATCACAGAGAATCACAGAGACGCAGAGAATCACAGAGACGCAGAGAATCACAGAGACGCAGAGAATCACAGAGAATCACAGAGACGCAGAGAATCACAGAGACGCAGTGAATCACAAAGAATCACAGAGACGCAGTGAATCACAGAATCACAGAGAATCACAGAGACACAGAGAATCACAGAGACACAGAGAATCACAGAGAATCACAGAGAATCACAGAGACGCAGTGAATCACAGATAATCACAGAGACAGAGAATCACAGAGACGCAGAGAATCACAGAGACGCAGTGAACCACGAGCCAGAACTGGTGCGGGTTTGTGAGACATTTACACTGAGATTATTATACCGGACATCTGTGAAAAAGAGCTTCTCAGCTCATCGGATTCCTCCAGTCGAAACAAACATTCAGATTTGTCTCTTCCTTGGCGCCAACAATCTCTTTATTTTATTGATTACCAAGAGCGACGCGAACGGTGGAAGAGTTGCACCATCTGCTGGACAATGTGGCAACTACAGAATAAATAAAGGGATCCCATACTAGAGCTCCTGCTCCACCCCAAGGAGCCGGCCATAAATGACGTCACGCACCTGGGGGGTTGGGGGGGGGGTCAGACATTTGTGACGATGTGTGACGATGGGGGGGGGGGGGTGGTGAGAAATGTGACGTCACATCAAAATGCGCAACTTTAAATAAATACGGAATTGTTATAACAACACTAATTGTGTTGTTATAACAACACTTCTACAACACCAGAGTGCAGCGCCACATTAAATACGCACTACAATGACAATAGTTTAAAGCGATTTGAAGCATGTTTTATTTTGTAAATGGAAATATGTTTTTTTTTGGGGGGGGGCAGAGCTTTGTGACGTCATATTTGAGGGGGGGTCTGACTTTTTGTGACGCCGTGTGACGAGGGGGGGGGGGGTCAAAATCGTCCAAAATCGCGTGACGTCATTTATGGACAGCCCCCAAGAAGCTATAAATGCTCGGCTAGGTGCACTGTGTTTGTACCGTTCGCCTTTTGGCGTTGTCCTCTTGTCTGACACTGGTGGTGAGAACTCGGGCTGAAGAAGGCTGCTGTCTCTGCTGTAGGCCAATCAGTTTCAATGACAATGCGAATAACACATTCTCCTGCGGAGGGAGCTGGTAGGAACGTCGGGTTGCTCGGTCAATGGGCAGGGTCACACGGCGGCACCACCACGTGGTGTATTCCGCACAATATGCCCGACTGTGAGGGCGGGCACAAGCCGGCGTGAGTAGGTGAAACGTTGAGTTTTATAAGGGCACCACGGGGTGACTAGCCCCTCTCCACCCAGCACCACCCCTCCCACCCCCACCCAGCCCCTCCCTCCCCAC